ATTTGATTTTAATGAAACTTTTAAAGAGAACTATGCAGAAACCCAATTAGTTTTTGGTAAATATTTATGCTTATTAATCACCTAATTAACATAATTAATTAACACTGATATCTTAATTACTGATCATCACATTTGAATAAAATTTGGTACTTAAATGCTCTAGGACAATAGACAGGCCTGATTAATTTTGGGTTAAAATTTGTTCATATTAATTCTCTAATTAGCATAATAATTCATAATTTTTTTTGTTCTGTTCTGTTCATATTAGTTACCTGATGTACATAATTAGTTTTCAGCTTTTCTATCAATATCTCATGTACAGGTAATTTTGAATTAATTTTTAATGTGTCTTCAATACTCTCAGCACACGGGAGTTCTTTCTAAGCTTTCTTTGATTTTTTGGAGGGGGGGGGAATAATGAATTACTATTTATTTAAGTGATTCAAAAGTATTCTTTTATTTCATGAATTGTATTCTATTACCAGTAATTTGTACACTTGAAAAAACAATTTTTTTACAACCGTGATTTGAGTTTTATCAGATTTGTTCAAAACAAGACAAATTATGCTCATATTTGTTGTAAACATTCATTTTGTGGGTGAAAATTTAGCAGTGATAGTGTTGATTTGAGTGTTTGAACTCTTTTTCACCACCAGACATTCTCACACAAACTATTCTGCACGTTCTTAGCTCCACTGTTGACTTTGTCAGCGACGCAGAGCTCTTCATATTACAGATTGTCTGGCGTATGTAGTCTGTCGTCTAATTTTTACATTTTTGTCTTCTTTTTTAAAACTGTTAAACCAAGTGCTTTCATATTTGCAACATAGATTCTTAGGGTAGTCCTATCTCAGATTTGTTCATTTTGTGATGATATCTTCAATTCTCTAATTTTGATGAATATTTTTGGAAAAAAGTGATATTTTCACTTTCTTGTTGAAAACCGCAAGTCTGATTGCTTTGATACTATACATATTGTTCATTTGCTAATGATATCTTCAGTTTTTTAATTGAAATGTGCATTGCTAACAGCGGAGCTATCTTAATCGAGAGGCTCCTTGTTCTTATATTCTTCAATATTTCTAGAAATGAACCCTAATTTTGGAGCCCACAGACACAATTATGGTCGATTTTCAATTTTTACTCAAAAAATTTGGCTATTTTTATCCCAATCTTCTGAAGGAAAGTGCAGACAGGATTATTTTGTGAATTAATGATAAAAACAGAGAACTACTAAGAATGTGAATTTAAAACCTACTGAATATT